ATCGCCAAGAGCTCCGCCCTCGGCCTGATCATCAAGAAGCTGCGGTCCAGCATCACGGCGCCGCCGTCCACCCCAGGCACGTCCTTGATCACCTGCGTGTACGTGCCCACCTTCATGGTCATGGTGTCCTCCTCATGCGCCTTGTCCGCCACGACTGGCACGCTCCAGGCGGGGACGCTGATGGTGCTGCGGGGGTCCTTGAAGTTAACGTTCGGCACGATGAAGATGTTGAGCTCCTGCTGCTCAATGTGCACGCGGCCTGCTGCGACGCGAGCTCCATCTCCAACGAAGGCGCCAGGGTATATCACCACCCTGCCTGCGAAATGAAGCTTGAGCTTCTCCTCCATGGACCCGCATGCATCACGCGTCCTGTCGAAGTAGAGCTTCACTCCGCCACCGGGCCTACCAGCTGACATCTGGGAGGACGGGCACACCAGGAAGTCAAGGCCCACATCGAGGAGAGAGATCGGCTTCGCGTGCTGCTCCTTCTCATCGTTCTCGTCGTTCTCGTCCTCGACGACCACCTCCACCTTCTCGGCCGCGGTCTCCACCGCGGCGTCCTCATCCCTCGCTGCAATCACCGCAGGCTCGGTCTTCCCTGCGACCCTCGTCTTGGGCTTCTTCGGCGTCGGCGGCACCGCGGCGGCATCGTCACCGCCGTTGGAGCCGCCCACTGGTTTGGTAATGGCAGGCCCGCAACCGAACAGCCACTCCTCCATGATGGCATGCGTCAGGTAGCGGCTCGCCTCGTCGCACTTCCACAGGCGGCGCGACATGTCACAAGCCCCCATACCCTTGAAGAGGATGAAGTATTCCTTGCCGTTGATCTCTACCTGAGTGCACTGTTCCAAGGCCACAACCACTGTGTTCTGAGGCTGCGCGGACGTCGTCTCGGCCGTCTCGGCGCCAGCATTGTCGGCATTGTCACCGCGCGGGCTGGACTCAGCATCTGGAGCGGTCAGGGGCAGGGCCACGGCAGAGGCTTTCCTCCGAAGCGCGTCGGCGCCTTCCTCGAAACCCAGGCAGAGTAAGCTCTTCCATGTTTGCAGCGCCGCAAGCTCTTGGGCATCCATCCGTCGGAGCCGCTCCTGAAGCAATAACTGCATAACCATTGACTTGACCAAGGTATCAACACCTTCGGGCACTGCGCCAGGGAACTCAACCTGCAGTGCCTTCACGATGTCGGCCTTCTTCATGCACTCGATCTTGGACTTGACCTGCGCTTCGCGGCTCCTTTGGGCGGTGGCGAAATCACTGCCTCTCGACCTCCAATCGTCCTTGTCGTCCCCCTCCATATTCCTGCTCCCTCCTCTCCCTCCTCCGCATCATCATCTTCTCCTCCCCGGGCTCCTCCCCCTCCTTCTAATACTCCTCCTCCGCTCCCCCCCCTTGGGATTAAAACGCCACCGCGGTCCGCAACATTGCAACGACGGGCTTCTTCACCACTCGGCCCTTCAAGATTTCGGCAATCTCGAACACCCTGAGCCACAATGCCTCGCTGGAGGGGTTCCCGTTCTCTACGCTATTGTACCCGAAAATGTCGGCCTCCACGGCGGCCCCGAATTCGATCCCATTGATGATGTACTGCTTGATGGGCTCGCTGCCGAACTGCGCGTTCTCTGCAATCAGCTTCAATGCCTTCTGAATGTAGAGGAACCTCGTGCGGTGGGTAGCCACGACGTCGGATTGGTCAGCCCAGAGCTCAGCCACCCATTGGGCCAAGGAGGCGTCGACCGACTGGAGCCGGATGGTCAGCATGGTACTCTCCTTGTCAACTTTGCGCTTCTCATCGACCCATGCATTTTTGTCCTCGGAGGGCGAAACCAAACACGACGGCCGACCCCCAAACACAAGACAACCGACCAGGGGGGGCAGAAACGAAAGCACCCCAGGACCCAACACTTTCGAAAGGTGTTTAAGCTTAGAGGCGCCATGTTTGATGACGCCCAGTCCTTGTCATCACTTATCTGATCGAGCAACGTCAGAATGTAACCAGAAATCCGATACAAGCAAGACGGCGTATGCATATCCAGAACTTTGAAAGCATCCGAGACAATAGTTCGACATGTTGCCTGCAGATCGTCTCCTGGGTACACCCTGCCCTTCGAGCGCAAGAGTGTCGAGCTGATCCTGGTCACGACAACGTGTGTCTGCTCGAGGTACGTCAGGTTCTGCAAGGGAGGGTTGTCGGTGAGGAAGTCGGCGACCAGCTTCTTAGTCCTCGTCCGACTCTTGCCGTCGCTGCCGATTGCCATGTTGAGCGAGGCCAAACATGAAGCCATATCAACATCATCTTGATGTGTCGACGCCACACCATCTTTTGCACAGTCGTTTTTATCATCACCCTCGGGTTTGGGCTTCTCCACGAGCTCGCTGTGCACGTCGTAAATGTGATCCATGATGCGAGGGCGCAACATCTTCCACAGTGCGAAGTGTTCCTCCTCAGAGTCTCTGTCGCCGAACTGGAACACAACCTTCCCCTTGTCCGACTGGAGCTTCATCCCCAAGCGAACTCCGAACCTCACCATCCGGCGGAGTTCACCAGTATTCCAATGTGAACGGTCAATTTTCCGCACTGGGTGGACAACAGCGTTCATCACGTCATCCAGGAACATGGTCGAGCGGACTGTTGATCCCGCTTGCGTGCAATGTGCCACGGCATCTGGCGTGACGGCGGCCTTAGCAGACCCCTTCGGCTTAGCCTTGCCTTTTGCCTTCGGGTTCGCCACCGTCGTCAGCAGACGCTTGGCAGGGCTCGCGGACAACGCATCTTTGAAGATGGAAGAGTCGGCCATCGGAGTGGTCAGCTGCACCAGGCGCTTACAATCAGAAGTCTTCTGCAATATCCAGCGCACGTCGCGGTCCGGGTGGTTCACGTAGTCCACGTCAGTAGCAATCTCTTGCGCGACATCTGCCTCCCCATCGTCATCGTCATCCTTGGGCTGGGGCTCAAAGACGGTCGGCACCGCGTACTTGAGAACCTCGAACATCGCATCGCCAAAGGCCCCGTGGTAGCTGTCCTTGGCCAACACGTCCCCGATCTTGTCGAACACGAGGAACATGGCCTTCGGATTCATGCGACGCTCCTCGAACACCACGAACTCCCCCCACCAGTCCACCAGCCTGTCCCATATCTGCAAAGCGTCGCACCTCTTCTTGAATAAAGCTGCGCGCTTGAAATCCTCAAGCCCGTCGAACATCTCCCTGTAGTTCTCCTTGACGAATTTGTTGTACTTCGCCTCGAAGCCCTTGAAGCGGCTGCCGTTGCCATCGTCACCCTTGTTCCCGGAGCTGCCCGCATCTGCATCGTCCAGCTGCGCGTCATCGGCAGACCGTTTCTTAGCAGCATCTCGCTCATCCTTGAGGAACTTCACCCAGTGCGCTGCAATCACTGGTGTAATCTCAAGCCTCTCGACGAAGGACGTGGAAGATCCCACTGCGACCATGGAGTTGCACTGGACCTTGATCCAGATCTGCGCGTCTACTGGGATCTGGGGGTTCAACAGCACGATGCGGGGCACCTGGCAGAAAAGTTAAGCTTCCTGTCCCCCCTTCAGGACTGCCCCCCACATCCACATCCCTCTCCCCGAGGAGCCCGAGGAGGGATGGGGATGGGTGGCCATGAGGGCGAGGAGGGGTGGACGGACACGATGACCATCAGGGACGTCGGGGTCACCACCCCTGGAGGTCGAAACCAACATGTTGTTGTAATGTGCGGCCCCATGGGCCCCAGGAGGAGCCCCCTTTCCCCACCTCCCCTCTCGGCCCCCTCACCCTCCATATTCATCTTTCTCCTCGTTCCTCTGACTCTGACTCGGCGCTCATTTAACCCTTGACCTCCATCCACCTCCTCCTTCTCCCCTCATCGCCCGACGGCCGACGTGCCCGCCCGCCCCGGGGGGGGGTTCTTAATTTGCTGGCAGGGGGAACCTGGTTCGCGATCAGCAGTCGGACCTGCTCGTTGGGCTGCTTCGTGTCCTCCACGTGCTGGATCATATCATAGCACGCTTCGATGAGCGTCGCCCCCCCCAGCACGTGGAGCTGCCATTTCCGCGGGTCCAGCTGTTCTGGGACGACCATGATGTCCCCTGCGCGGTCCCCCCAGTTCACCCCCTTCGCCAGGCCGAGCTTTTTGTAATAGCGCCTGGTCGCCCTCTGCTGGCGGTTGTTGATCTTGTGCCGCACGAACACTCTGGTCCCGTCCTCGTGAAAAAATGGCTGAGTCGTTCCTGGCCACGGGAGGACGTAGTCAGCATTGAACTGCAGAGGGTGGCTCTGGCGCTTTCAGCCGACCGATGTCACGGTGGCGGCCATCTGAACATGTTTCGCTACCTGGAATTTTGGGATGCGTTTCAGTCCGAGTATCTTGATCCAAGCCCGCAGCGCGTGAACCATCACACTTGGAATGAGAAGTCGGCTTAGCCCAAGAGGGCTCCAGAGAACTGGAATGTGAAACGCCTGAATCTGAATATCTCAGGCACGACGTGGGTGGATCAAGAAACCTGGAATGCGGGAAACGCCTCAGTCCAGTACCGTGTCCTGGAATGTGAACTCAGTCCGAGCATCTTGACACATGCCCGCACTGGGTGGATCAAGATTCCTCGAATGTGAACAAGCCTCAGTCCGAGTATCTTGATCCAAGCCTCCAAGCCCGCATACTGAGAAGGCGAAACGGCTTCAAATGTTCAGACGGCCATAACCATGATATCGGCAGCGGTTGGGTTGGGCATTTGGGGGCCTCCTCTGGGCTGGGTGGCTTTCGATGGCTTCTGCTGCGTTTCAGGGCCAGGGTCATCTGCGAAATAGCTTGGCGCCTCCCAGGGGTCTCAGGGCCAGCTCAGAACCGCGAAAACAACATTCAGATGACCGCGTCCGTTTGAACGCGCGCTGGCCCTTCATGGGTCCGTCTCGGACCCGTTCCAGAGCCAACTGAAATTGATTGGAGCCTCTTGGGGTCCTCGTCAGGGCCTCGCAACCGACACCTCATGTGCTGTCTGGCATCATCCAGAGCAGCCGCGCGGGGCCGCCTCTCCTCGCTCCCGGCCCCTTTGCTTGGCTCGCACCAGAGCCCGCCCCTGGGCCGCCCAATGGCGGCGCCTGCGCGCGCAGCACGGCGCCCTCCTTGCCCGGGTGGCGGTTCTCGTAGCTGGAGAAGCCGCCGTCGAAGGCGCCGGGCGACCCCAGCTGGTCAGTGGCCCCAGCCTATCGGGAGAGGAGGGGGGGGCCAACCTGGTAGTGGGCAGAAGCTTTACTTGCGCAGAAGGCCAACACAGGCCATTTAAGCAAGAAAGGAATGCAAATTCCTAATGTCGGCCCGCAAACACCAACCATATGCAGCTGTGAGTACCGCGTTGTGGTACCGCTCTCGGTGGAACCCTCTATGGGGCCACGATCCTCGTAAAGGGTGTGCCGAAATGGGCGGGGGGGCGCATGCAAAACCTGCTGCTGGGGCCTTTGGTGGAGGTGGAGCTCCCTATGGAGCCACGATCCTCGTGAAGAGTGTGCCCAAATGAGTGGGGAGACGCATGCAATCCCTGCCGCTGGGGCCTTCGTTGGAGCTCTGAGCTCCCTATGGGGCCACGATCCTCGTGGGGGGTGTGCCACAATGGGCGGGGGGACCAATGCAAACCCTGCCGCCGGGGCTTTCGGTGGAGCTACGTATGGGGCCACAATCCTCGGGAGGGGTGTGCCGACATGGGTGGGGGGGCACATGCAAACCTTGCCGCTGGGGCCTTCGGTGGAGCTCCCCGTGGGGCCACGATCCTCGCGAGGGGTGTGCCGACATGGGCGGGGGGACGCATGCAATCCCTGCCGCTGGGGCCTTCGGTGGAGCTCCCTATGGGGCCACGATCCTCGTGAGGCTCGTGAGGGGTGCGCCGACATGGTGGAAATGCGGCGAGCAGAAGCAGGAGTGGGAGAAAAAAAGAGGGGGAGGAGAGGAGGGAGGGGGCAGCGGGGGGAGGAGGAGGTGAAGCGCGTTTTTTTTTTGTTTTTTTCCAAAAAAAAACGAAGACCCAACGCCACAGCATGGTCAAGGTTGGGAAACTCTCTTGCCACCTGAAACCTTTTGAGGCCAACCACCTGGTAGTGGGCAAGAGCTGGACCAAGGGATCACGGCAGGAAGTAAAGGGTGCGATGTGGAATGTCTGCGCCTTGACGTTCGAGCTCGCGCGGAGCCCCCAAGAGGCGGGTCAGCAACCGATCAAACGTTCGCTAGCGGACGTTTGAAGACTGACCCGCCTCGAGGAAGGACAGCACTTGCTCAAACGTCGGGCGTGTCACTTCGACATTGGAAGTCCAAAAGCGTGGCCTCCTCCACCTCAGCACCTCCACCTCCACCCCCGTCTCCCGCAGCCTTGAGGCTGGCGGTCAGCGCGGCGATCGGGTCCGACGACGTCGAGGCCGCCGCAGCTGCGTCGCGGCCGAGACCTGGCGGGCGGGGGACTCCAGCAACGAGCAGGGGCCGAGAAGGGCAGCACGCATCAGCGGCGAAGGAGGACGAGGATGACGAGGATCAGGAGACGGACGAGAGGAAGGGATAGATGTCGGGAAGGAGGAGGAGGAGGAAGAAGAGGGAGAAAAGGAGAAGGAGAGGAGGGGAGGAGGAGCGATGACAGATGGAAGAGGAGACGGAGGAGAAGTAAGGAGAGATGAGAGATAGAGGAGGAGCTTGCAGGAGAAAGGAGGGGAGGAGAGGAGGGTAGGAGGAGGGATGCACAGCCGGTGCAGCCGACTGATGGAAACGCGTTGAAGGAGGGCTGGATAGAGGTGCACTTTCCTTGTCAGTTGCCCAGGCGGGGGGCCAGCCGACTTGTCTGACTTGTCTAGACTCGGACGCGCGATCCGAAAGCCGAGCGCAGGGCAGCCAGCAGACCTGTACTGCCCGCCAGCCAGCTCCAAGCGAAGCACTATCCTCCTATCCTCCCTATCGCCGCCCTCCTCCGCTCTCCTTCTCCCACCCGCCGCCCTCCTCCGATTCGTATCGGCATTTCTCCATCCACTCACCTCCTCACTGGCGGGCCTCGTCCACATTTGGGACCGAGGGCTCACTCACAAGGACCTCTGGCGCTTGATCGCCCGAGCGCGCTTCCTGGCGACTTCGGCAGCTGCCTCGGCCTCCTCTGAAACCAAAGCAGGGGTCAGTGCAGAGTCGATGCGCGGGCAAGGGGCAGCCGGGAATGCGATGTCACCAGACTGCTCAGGCACGTGCACTACCAGCAACCATCGATAACGATACACAATGGCGAACACAACTGACCCGATAGAATTAACGTGCATTGCATTGCCTAGCTCGCAGAGCATAGAGTTCCGCGTGCGATAAGGAAAAGAGTTGGTAGAACCCCTGGTGAATTGGCAGTCGACACCGTGATACATCCTAACAGCTTCTGGGGTCACTGGGAAGCCCATCGACAAAAACGTCTCGAGTGGCGTCAACCACCTCTCGAGCTCAGCCATCCACGTGATCCCCATCCCCCTGCGCAGGGTATGTAAGGGGCCCGTGACTGGGCTGTTCACTTGCTTCTTGATGGTTTGCCCCAGATCCCAATTGCGGCCAGGCAGCTGCTTCGAGAACTGTTCGAGCCGCTCACGTTCGGTCAAAGTCAAAGCGTACTTCCACGAGCCGTGCGGGTCGTTGAACTTGTCGCCTGCTCGGTGCCTCGCTTTCACGTCTGTTCTCGAAACCGCCCATTCGTACTCTTCTGCCAATTCCTCCTCTGAGCTCACGCAGTACGACGAAGGTGAGTACCCGCAGCCTCGAGCGAAGCAGCGGTCGATGAACTCTTGCATGGACATGTGGGGTCCCCGGGGAGGCGGCACATTCAAGCCCTTGAGGAGACCCACCACGAACTGGCGAGGCCGGCGCGTGCTCCAGCCTTGGTCGCAGGCGTTGAGAGTCACGCGTTCGAGGGAGTAGTGTCCCCCGAGAGCCCGCCGGTACTCGTCATCGCCTTGCTGCGGAACGCACTCGAAGATCACCGTGGGTTCCTCGGGTCGGCGGTTGAAAGACGTGGCCCTGAGGGATGCGGTCTAAGAACGAAGGGCCTTTAATCATGTAAATCTATCCTGAGGCCTAACCCTGGGGCCCCATCCCTCAGGGCCCACATCTTTGAACAGCCGACCGAAATTACCAGAGGGAGGAGCACTAGGGGCAAGGGGGAGAACGGGGAGTCTAAGGTCACGGGGCCCAGGGGCAGGAGAGGGGGAGGGGGCTCGCCCAAAGAGCAGGTTCAGTCGCAATGGTATTTGGCGCCCTTTTTGAGTCAGCCAGTCCAAGAGATCGAGTCGCTGCCGCAATCCTATCCATAGTACATTGTAGCCTTCTCCTTCTCGAGAGCCGTGGCTGCCGAAAGTGGAGTCATGCACGCATGGAAACCCACTGCAATGGACATGGGTGCGAGATAAACTGCAGTACCCCCCGCATTTCAAACACCAGAGCCTCTTGGTCCGAGTTGGGTTTGATAGAATCAATCGTCTCCTGGCGTCGACATCTGTCAGCGGGAGCTTTGCCAGCTGGTCTCGCACACGGGGTGTTAGTACTTCATACCAGTCTTGAAAAGCATGACGTGGGGCATGAGGTCCACTGTGGAGCATTTCTTCCATGGCCTTCCCGTCCTTCTCGATAACCCAATCGGACGCGACCGAGTATCCCAAAATGGTCCCAACAACCCTCGCACTCAAGTCGAAAGTCATAATCCCTGAGCAGCCCGACGAAACCGTGAGGAGGCGGTGCATGCGGTGCCCGTCGGTGCAATCAGCCATGTGCCCGCACAGAGCATCAGCTTCATCTTTGCCGTGGGTCGCCCACATCAGAGATGACTGAACCGATGCGCATGTGATGGGCATCTGGGGCCCCTCAGCTGGGGCCCGAGAAGGGCTGGCAGCCTCAATCTGACCGCAACGCCCGTTCAGCAAGCGACTGCAGTTCGACCCGAAACGGCAACGGACGGTGGGATCTGATGGGTTCGTACGGAATAATATCCTATGATCACGGCGGGTACCACACGACGAAAGAGACAGGGGGGAGGAGTCCGTAGCCCTTGGCTCAAGCCATTGCGATTGACTCCTTCTCGGGGCCTTCCTTGGGGCCCTCCTGGAGTTGTTTGTTCTCACTCACCCTTGCCTGGCCGAGCCGTTCTCTCTTCAATGGGCTCTCATCCCCCAAAATTGGGACCTCCTGGAGTTTACTTGGGATCTCCAAGAAGGCACCAAGAAGGCTCCAAGAGGGCCCCGAGAGGGGCCCCCCTGCTGTCAAGGACGGGGACCGCCATCGTGACAGTAGGGGCGCCATCTTGGTGCCTTTCTTGGTGCCCTCCTGGGGCCTTCTTGTGACCCATCAGGAAGCCTCCCAGGGCTCCGAGAAGGCCCCAAGAGAGCTCCAAGAGGGCCCCGAGAGGAGCCCCCCTGCTGTCAAGGACGAGAGTCGCCATCTTGACAGCAGGGTGGCCCTCTAGAGGCCTTTCTTGGAGCCCTCCTGACAAGTATGACTTGTCACTTCTCGGTCCGCCGAATGATTGTGCCGGCTGGTGTTATGGAGTTGATTTCCAGGAGTTGCCTTGCCTTGCTTTGCCTATGTTCATGCTCTCCTCATTCCTCCACGCTCCGTCTCTCCGTCCACCCTGATCCCTCACCCTGATCTCCCCAGAAATGCCCGACAACATTCGACACCTTATGGCTGGCATACGAAAAGAAAAATGATCCCGCACCCGTCTCTCCCTCTCCCTCCTGCGCGCCCTGGGACGACGGACAGTGACGGACGCTTAGGCGCCCTGTCAGTGCCGCCTATGACCTTTATAAGCATGTGAGCCCTATGGTCCTCGTGAGCCTGGTGAGACCTATGAGCCCTATGAGCCCCATGAGCCCCAGCCCCATTAGGCGTCTGAGCCATTTGAGCCCTCTGAGCCCTATGAGCCATATCACCCCTATCAGCCCTATAAGCCATATGAGCCCTAGGAGCCCTAGGAGCCCTATGAGGCGTTTGAGCCCTACGAGCTCTGTGGGCCCTGTGAGACCTCTGAGCCCTCTGTGCCTTACGAGCCATATGGGCATTATGAGCCCTATGAGTCCTATGAGCACCCTGGGCCCTATGAGCCGCATGCGCCGCATGAGCCCTATGAGCCTTATGAGCCATCTGAGCCCTATGAGCCTCATGAGACCTATGAGCCCTATGAGCCCTATGAGTCCTATGTGCCCTATAGGCCTCATGAGCCCTGTGAGCTCTATAAGCCCTATGGACCCTACGAGCCCTACGAGCATTCAAAAGCCAATCCAACAGAGACCCCCAAACAAAGAGATTCCATGAGACGTTCTGCCAATGTCAGCCCCGAAGCAAATCAAACAGAGACCCCAAAAGCATACACCCTGAGCCCTACTAGCCCTATTATCCATACGAGGCATATGAACCCTGTGAGTCATATGAGCCCTATGAGCCCTACGAGCCCTACGAGCCCGATGAGCCATATGAGCCCATATGAGCCCTATGAGCCCTATGAGCCCTACGAGCCCTAGCCCTACGACCCATATGAACCCTATGAGCCCTGTGAGTCCTATGAGCCGTGTGAACCATATCAGTCATATGAGTTCTCGGTGCCTTATGAGCTCTCTGAGCCCTGCGAGCCCCATGTGACCTACGATGGTAAAGGCGAAGCGCAGCGAGCCGGTAACATCTTGTATGCTTGTACCTCTTACATATGTACATGCACACATATGTATACACATATACATAGGCATATATGTACACACATACATTGTATGCATACATACGTACCCGCACCACCCCGAACCAACAACAAGGCATACATGCAGCTATATCGAGGTTCGTATGTCGGTATGCAGGTCATGACCATTGAATAAACACTGCACCGTTGGGCATATAGGGGTACTCGCGTATAGTTGCTGGCACATCTTGGACTGTATTGGTATGGTCCTGGGGCGGGTGTACAACTCTCATCTGCTGGTTGGACTCGTCCCCCGCTCGATGCCATCCGCGGGGCGAGCATCCCCAGAGGAGGGCAGCCGTGGGGGGCCCCTCCCACTGACAGGGGAGAGCACCCCCACATGATACCACCCGTGGGAAGCAGATCCCCACGGGTGACCTGGTCCGTGGGGGGGACACCCCCACGCGAGGTCAGCCGTGGGGGGATCCTCCCCACAGGAGGGTAGCCGTGGGGGACATCCCCCCACGGATGATATGATCTGTGGGGGGGTGACCCCCACATGAGGCCGCCCGTGGGGGTCACCTCCCCACGGGCGACCTGGTCCGTGGGGGGAACACCCCCACGCGAGGTCATCTGTGGGGGGATCATCCCCACAGGAGGGTAGCCGTGGGGGGCATCCCCCCACGGATGGTCTGATCTGTGGGGGGGTGACCCCCACATGAGGTCGTCTGTGGGGGTCACCTCCCCACGTGCGACCTGGTCCGTGGGGGGAACACCCCCACGCGAGGTCCTCTGTGGGGGGATCATCCCCACAGGAGGGTAGCCGTGGGGGGCATCCCCCC